ATGTTCCAGTCGAATTAACGCGTATCGGGACTAAATGACAACAGTGACAGAAACTTTCTTAACATCCAATCGAAAGCACATGCTATCGAAAAGCAAGTAAACAAGATGTTCGTATACTTCAAGTCATTCTCAACTTATATTCGACTTCTAGAATGCTTCCACAGGCTACTGTAAATTGTCAAAGTCCTTGGTCACTCTTAAACAGCTTTTAGGGCTTCACGAGTCTCTGAACTTGACTATGGCTTTCTTCACGTATTGTTTCGCGTTCCCCAAGCGTTTCTGTGACATGTGTAGATGAAAATTGGATATAGCTCGCAGAAGATGAAGATCATGACAGTCGTATCCGAAAATAGTCACCAAAAATGTTGCTGTGCGTCTACACTCAACGAACAACTCTGTAGCTGCCTGTTCATTGATCGTAGCTCCGAAGCCATATTCGTCTGGTCTTTCAACCTAAATTCCACCACAGCAATCATCCACATTCACATAAAACCCCACCGCGCAAACCCCAAATCCCCCCTCACCCACCCGTGACACCATTCCATCCCGCCCGCCCGTCACCGTCCGTGTAAGCTGCATTCTGACTTGCGGTTGTCGTACCCGTGTTTTTCATCTGCCATCCACACTTCGCCCCCAAACCTGCTCGATGCGGAAACTCGTGGGATCAAGATACCCGTATCTCGTCGCATGCAGTGAGCGCCACGTCAGACGGGTCGGTACCCATACCCGTGGATACGCGCCCCGCAATCGACGGCCGCGTCGCAAACCTACTCGATAAGGCAAGGGAGGCGTAACGGCGGTGCGGTGGACGCGAGACCGTACGTGTTTTGTGATAAGCGGGGGGTGATGGTGGTGAATGGAACCGTGGGAGTGTTGTGGGATCGACGGGAGGGGACGCTCGTGTTGTCGTGTTGGGAATGCGGCCGATTGCTGGGTTGTCGGGCCGGGGGTCGACGTGAGGGCAGATGACTTGCTTCAGCTGGAGGTGTAGTTTGCGGGGAAGGAAAGTCGCAGAATGATATCCTTTGCTTGGCCGTGGTTTTGTTCGAGTTGGTGGTGATGGGAGACCCTGGAGAAGGGTTCAGGATCACGACATCCGAGATTCATCGTCCACTGCGACTGAGTGGTCATGTCACTGTCTTTGTGTTCTCTGTGATGAGCTGCATCAAATTAGATGGATCGAAGGTGTCATTTAGTGAAAGGTCGGATTTGTATATGAGTCGAGTTGGCTTTGTGGGTACGAGTTGTACAAACATAGGACAAGGAAGTCTCAAAAGAGCGGTAGGATTACACAAAAATTGAGGGATAAGTAGAAACACTTAGCAGCCAACAGTAGAGGTAGTTTTCGATAGAAGATCATCGCTTTGACATTTCTCTGAGTGCACGATCATATATCTCTCCTGTCACCATTCATTCGACACTCAAGGACTAATGTGCGACATCACGAAAGAAACGCAAGTTATATCAAAAGAAAATCTATGAACACAATGATATCTGGCAGACATTTACATTTCCTTGCTACTATTCGCAATAGATCAACATCTATTGCCTAGCTCCCGAAGCCTGCATATCAGCATCTGTAACCTCCTCCCTCTGAAGATTCTCTGGCGCACGAGCCTCCTGCTTCTTATTTATGCCTCTTGCACCAGGAGTCAAGTAAGTACTGTCAAGATTTGGTAGGTCCTCGCCTTCTGTTGGACTCCAATTCTTGCTCTTCCATGGCGTGACACCAAGAATGTACATTGTATCGACCTCCTCCAAGCTACGACCATGCGACTCGCAAACGAAGAAGTAGACTACGACCGCGCCTGCAAAACAGCATCCCGCGAACACGTAGCCGTAGCGGTAGTCGATAGCTGAAGTGATATACGGTGTGAAGAATGATATGAGGAAGTTGAACGTCCAGTTCGATGCTGTTGCGAGTGCCATGCACTTGGCTCGGTAACGGGATGGATAGATTTCTCCAACCACTGCCCATACGATCTTTTAAAATAGTCAGCCAGGGATCTCATTATAATATGGTTCTGTGACTTACAGGCCCCCAGGTCATGGCAAAGCCAGCGATGAACAAGCAAGCGAATATGATCATGGCATATCCGATGCCTTGACTCGAAGTACCGTCATCATTCTCCAAGGCGAAGTGGCCCAGAGAAGCAAAAACGAGAAAGCACATGAACATCCACAAAGCTCCAAATATCAGTGATGGTCGACGTCCGTATTTCTCGACAATGTACAGTCCCGGGAATGTGGTACCGAAGTTGACAGCTCCAAGGATGATGGAAGTGACATAGGGGTTCGAAATACCGACAGAGTTGAAGATGGTAGTGCCGTAATAAAAATAGTAGTTCGCACCTGTGAGCTGCTGGAGAGCTTGGAGCGTGACACCAAGTATAACGCGGTACAGCATACGTGGTCCAGTGAAGATCTCATACCAAGGATGATTATCTCCACCTGCTTGCTCAGCCTCGAGCTTCAATTGAATGTCATGGAGTTCGCGCTGCACCTCAGCATGGTCTTCTGAAACACCGTATGTGAGAGCGATTGTCCTGCGTGCACTATCAATCATTCCTTGGCGATATTCCCAGCGAGGTGATTCTTGCATGAACATGATACCAACAATCATAAGACCTGACCAGATAAAGCCAATGCCCATTGGAAGTTTCCAAGCTCGTGAGCTGCGTTCACTTTCCGTGCCGAAGTTGATGCAGTACGCGACGAAGATACCAAGGGTAATGAAGAGCTGGTAGCAAGAGACGAGAGCGCCACGAACATAGCGAGGAGCTGTCTCGGACTGGTACATCGGAGTGAGCACGGAGAGACCTCCCACTCCCAGGCCGGCGACCCATCTTCCTAGCGAGATTTGGTACCATACAGTGGTTGTTGTGATTTGTACGATGACGCCAACGCAGAAGATGATGTTCCAGAATACGATCGAGTACTTGCGGCCGAACTTGTCTGCGACGGGTGCGGAAATCAGAGCACCCATGAAAGTGCCAACTGATAGCTGTTAAACTGTTAGTTGTATGCCAGCCTTGGAGATTTTTTTATAAAAGTGAACATACCAACGCAACAATCAAGCCTGATTTCCAGTTACTGAACTTCAAACCCCCCGTACCGTTCGTCTCATCCGCAAACCTCTCCAAGAAGTCTGGCATCTCGAGAAATCCAGAGATCTGACCAGTGTCATATCCAAAGATGAAGCCTCCCATGGATACAATAACTGCCATGGCGATAATGCGGACGCGGAAGATGTCTTTCATGCCCACTTGCAGGATTTGAGGCTTCTTCTCGAGATCGCCCATGGTCGAGGACGTGGGCGAATGGGACGACCGCCCAGGTAATCTGTCGAACATACCCATTCTCAGCAACTATGTTTCAATGATTTTTATTTGCGTGAGTAGGAAGTGATATCCATCTACGTGGGGTCTCCAGGTCTCTATAAAACGCGATCACTCCAGTCCTTGGACCCCGAGATTCGGCCCATCACGTCACAGCTAGAATCTTAGTCGGATATTCGTAATGCTAAACCCCGTGGTAACAAATTTCTGCAGTCCCTGAGATTGTGGTTTCGCCTGCCAACGTCATTGTTGATAGCAGCCTTGTGGGACTAAACACCTGATCTGTGCACGAAGATTGCTTGATCATTCTTAAACTACACCAAGCGTTACGATCCTACTGGCGCGGGTATTAACCGGGAAACGGCTCCGTCTGAGCCTCAAGTTCTAGTGTCGGACTCGTGCTTGGTGAAAAGGCCGGGAATCGTCATAGGTGGGGCGTTGGAGCGATGCTGTTGGTCAGGCATGTGTTGAAATCTTCGTCGGCCTCATTGATGGTAGCATGCCGAGATAGACCGATAACAACTATCAACTCCACTTCGGCCGAAAATTTATATTACCAAGTTTGAGAGCGATAGACAGCTTGTTTTGCTGTCGAAATTTTGAACTCAGTCTTCAGCATTGCTTCGAGTCGTTCAATAGATGTGTGCATTTCAAGACTGACACGTCACAAACAATCAGGGGGGCTGATGCAACAATCTTCGATAAGTCAAACGGATCGCGGTAAATTTATCACTCTCGATGCAAGCACCTTCAAAAGGCTATGCTCAATATACGAGAAGTGCGGATACATAGAAATTGTTAAAGAACCCTGATAGAGCATAGGGCTTCGAGATATGTTGCGAAAGCTCTCTTTATTTAATGAAAGAAGTCTATTACGATATCAAAAGAGATGCTAGCACTAATCTATGAGTGATTGAATGCAAATATGCTGAAAATGATCTCTCTATATGCAAAAGATACCTTAAAGAAGATACGTAAGTACTGAGGGATAGTGCCTTTCGCAACATAGGCAAACGGTCTGCAACCAGTGTGCAGGTTTAATCTGCGCATGCAAAAAAATCGTCTTTGCAAAACCTTGAAGATCTGCTATTATAAAATGTTGTTTCCTTGCATAGTCTATTTCGGACTCGTACTAACTCCTAGCCGATCACAATCAAAGCCGCAACTTGGGCTCACCATACATTTGAAAATGATATATAGGGGAAGGAATGCTAAAGGCGCTGAGCATGTAGGTATTCATTTCATTCTGTTCATGCCTGAATACCTGTAGATACCGTTGAAGAGCCTAGAGCACCAAGACTCAAAAGTAATTTCATCCTTGAAATTTTGAGGAGCAAATGATATTGTGACGAAAAAGTATAGGTGTAGCAAATTGAAATAGAGAGTGTACTGTTCGCCAGAGTCATGGCCAAGGACCACCCGCGACGAATGCCCTCCCACTCCCCTCCTCCTCCCCTCTTCCATTAAGTCTCGAGTCCCAAACCAATTGGCCATTAACTACCTACCTCCAATCCTCTTGTCAATTATCGACATTCCTGCGACTCAAAAAAAGAGGTGATTGCAAGTTTCTCGCGCCTATCCCTCGAAATCCCCTGATTTGCCCAACAGCACAAAAAATTGGCAAAAAAGATAGTTCGAAAGATCTCAGCAAGCTGAGCACGTTGTCCCCTTCGTGGATCGAACACGATACTGATTTTTCGTTAGTGAAAATTCACACTGACCAATCAGATGAAGAAACTCACCCTCCAGATTTAATGACCGAAGACTTCAGTCTGGCGCTCTCCCAATTGAGCTAAGGAGACTTTTATGGGAATTGATGGACATTTTTCAAATTACAAAATCTATGTACAGTAAAAAACCAGCAGGGAGCCAAGAGACCGCAAATAAGCGGCAACGAGAAGCCAATGGGAATTATTTGAAAATTTGTGTGTGGGGCGTGGCGGGGCGGTGTGGTGGGCGGGAATGTAAGCGAGCACGGGAATGGACTGGGCAGGAGACGGCAAGTTCAATATAATGGCACTTGGAACTTGGACTTGGTCGTACAACTACAAACAACTAACTAGGTGATATTCAAGAGCTCAAGAGCAACTCTAGCAATATGTTTTCACCATATTTATACTTCACATCCCAAGGTTTCTACTGTTCCAAGATTGAAACGCTCGTCCAAGCAAAAACACGTGACATCTCCGAAACGATCGCCAACTGGGTATGTTCCCAAACCTCAAGAACCGAGTCCCCAAAAGCTTCATTAATTGAATGGAAAGACATCAATCAGTTGGGCCCACAGGGCGGCGGGCGTAAAACGACCTTTGACCGCGCATCGTCTTGGCGTGTCACCAAAAAAGCAGACTGTTTACGCAATGACCTCATGATTCGAGTTTCGGGGTACTATGAGCTGCATTAATTAGCCACCACGAGTATTTCGTGTGACTTAGATTGCTGTTACTGCAATTGCAATTGCGCACGACGTGTCGGTGCTTGCTTCATCTACTGCTGCTGCGTCCTCAATTGCTACGTGCAACGCTGCCCCTTTTTCCTTCGTCCTCGACAAAACACCAGATCAGATTTCGACCCGCGAGCACGACCACGGAAATGGCGATTATTCAGAATTGGCTGCCGCCGTCACGAGAGAACTGGGAGTTTATATGCTTCATCTGGCAATTCTTCCCTTTGGTATGTATCTGTTTAACATGGGTTGCCTACGACGCGATTGCGCCCCGCGAATCTACCCGTGTCTGCGCGAGTTCCGCGTCTTCACGTGTTTCCTGGCCAGTTGCTAACATGTGTATGTGCTAGGTCACGGTCACGCAATGGCTGATTGACTGGTATCCGCAGGGCAAGACGTCGACGGCATCGCGGTTCAATATCGATGGCAGAATCGGGTGGGCGACGATGGAGTGTTTTGGGTTCCTGACGGTGCTGTATGTCATGGTTGCGCTGCCGAAAGAGCTGGGTATTGGGGAGTTGCCGTGGGGTAATTGGGTTATGGCAAGTTGCTTTGTACGAGAACCTTGTGAGGAAGTAGTGAGGGGTTACTGACGGGGATAGGTCATCCATTACATCTACCGCGCAGTCATCTCACCGCTGTTCCTGAACCCGAGTATGGCACCCATGAGCCCGCTTGTTTGGATCCTGGCGATGGGCTTTCAGGTGTTCAATGGGTTGTCCATTGGAGGGTATCTTGCAGGCTATGGACCGACGACGACGGCAGACTGGGCTGGGCGATCCGGATGGATGTTTTTTGGCCTTGTCATTTGGGCGTGGGGATTGATGGGCAACATGTTTCACGATGATGTGTTGCGTGAGATCAGACGAGCAGCAGATCGTAAGCAGCGCAAGCTGGCGGCAGAGCAAGGGAAGCCTGTCGAAAAAGTGGACAAGATCTATATGATCCCCGAGACCGGGTTGTTCAAGTATTCATTACACGCGCACTACTTGTGCGAGTGGATCGAGTGGGCGGGGTGGTGGATGGTGGGAGGATGGAAGTGTATCCCCGCGCAGACATTTCTGATCAACGAATTGTCAACCATGATTCCCCGGGCACTACAGGGAAGAAGGTGGTACGAGAAGAAGTTTGGCAAGGAAAAGCTGGGCAACAGAAAGGCAGTGATACCCGGCGTGATCTAGAATCTGACGGCGGTATGTGTGTATAAATTTAACTTTGTATGGTACGCTAGTAGTTTCCCCGCTCTATGCGAAAGGCAAACCAGAAGTGTGGCTTTGCTTGAACAAAGAAAGATGGGAGGTAATGGGCATGTGTCGGGAGTAGCCTCGAGTGGTGAAGTCAGGCAAAAGAACACTAAGCATGACGAGGCGGAGCAGCTAAATGTCTAGAGTGAGGAAGAGGATGGACTGCCTGTTCAGGCAGTCGACGAACTATTGACAATTGGAGGGTGCAGGATGGCGATGTATAAGCAACGGTTGGGAGAGGGATTGACACGTGTGAGTGGTGGAAGCGCGGCAGGATGAGTATTGCAGGGCCGTCATCACGAAGAACACGAGGACACCTGATGCACATCGCGTATCGGGGTAGCAAGAGAGTTAACAGATTCCCATGTTGAGCAGCGCGACGCGATGTCGCAGGCTAGAGGATGGAGCTGGAGCCATGGTACGATGGCTCGCCAGCTGGCGGCTGGCAGTGCAGCAGTTGCAGCAGCAGCGCGACGGCGTGGACAGCGAGCCAACTATCGAGAACCGGATTGCAACGTGCCGACGAGACTGTGCCCATCATCAGCTTAATTTAGAGCGGCCAGCGGGGCCAATCACGGGCGCACGGGCTAGCGAGCAACAGGAAATTCTCGTAAAAAGAGCAATGGGTGATTTCATGACGGGCCGGGGTTGCAGGTGCGCAATGGCCATGGTGATGCAATCGCAATAGGGGCCTGCGACCGCGCGTGGACGAGCTGTGTGCGACAGCCGTGAAAGCGCTGGACGAGAGGCCGCGGGCATTGTCGTCGTGGGCAAGATGAAACCAAAAGGGAGCTGGCCGCACGAAAAGGCCACCGCCACAGCCACGCGAACGGCCGTGTTGGTGTCTAGCGGGCGCATCAGCTCCCTCCAGCTGCCCTTTTCGAGGAGCCCTAAACGGGATTGAGCGCCCTAGTCTCCGCTATTGCGCCTGCTCCAGGACGCTTGGCGGAGATTGCTGAAAAGCATCGCTGGCCTGCTTTCTGCCCAGCCGATGATCCATTTCTTGCCGTCTTGTTCTCTTGAGCCGCCCTGATTGCGCGACCAGAGACTCCAGCAACGGCCTGCTAGCCACCACACCTCCCACCGCGCGCGGCCACCTCCCCGCGCAGCATCACGAGCAGCCAGGCCCGTCGCTTGCAGCCTCCATACTCGGCCCTCTCGGCTAGTCGCTGCGACCAGGAGCTGCATCAGTCTGCATCTGCTGGGCGTCTCCTCTCGTCGCCCGCCCGACTCCACTCGACTTGCACCTGCCTCCACTCAGGCTCGCCTCCTGCACGGTTGCAGCCTCCGTCGACCTCACCACTCATCGCTCGTCAAGGCCCCCGATAAGATCGCCGCGCATTCTTGACCTTCCCACGCCAGTCCCAAGCCGTGCCACTGCCTGCATTCCGCGACACTAACAACCTCACCTCTGCTCCCCCAGGGCTGCGCTTTTATCCGTCGCCGCCTGAGACTTTGTCTTCTTGCCTGACACAATCAATTTCTAACGTCCTTCGCGGCGTGCCATTGTCGACGTTATGGCTAGCAACAACACTGCCAGTACGTCTCCCTTGACCGACCCTACCAGTCGTCCCCCTCCTTCTCCCTCGTTGCCTCCTGTAACACCCTCCACAGCCCCTACTGCAGACACTCCTGCTCCGTCTTCCAATCCGCCGCCTTCTAACCCAACCTCAGCGGCGCCCTCGCAACCGCCTGCTTCGAGTCCTCCCCCGGTCACCCTGCCGCCATCATCGCCATCTCCTCCAGCGCCCTCGTCCAACAACCCGCCGCCATCCTCCAACAACCCCCCACCGCAGTCATCGGCAGGTCCTCCAACGTCAACCGTCACCGCGGCCTCTCCTACTCCCACGGGCACCGAGATCCAGACGTCCATCATCGTCATCACCCCGACCCCGTCACGCGAAGGAGAGACACCCTCTGTCATTGTCATCACCTCGTACCTTACGCCGACCAACAACCCTGCCCAAGGAAGCAACACTCGAACAGGGTCCATCAACCCGACCAGCACCGACGCGACTGGCCTTCAGAATGCACAGAACCCGAGTTCTAGCGGACTGAGCACGGGTGGAAAGACAGCCATCGCTGTTGTGGTTCCTGTCGTAGTGGTAGCGTTGCTGGTACTTGGTGGTATCCTCTTCTGGCGGAAACGCAAGCAGCGAAAGAACGCCGAAGATGAACGCCGGAAAGAGGTGGAGGAGTACGGCTACAACCCCAACCACGATCCTACTCTCCCTGCCGTAGGCATGGCCATGGCTGAGGACGACAGCGGTTACCGAGGCTGGGGTAACACAACGACAAGCTCCAACCGCAAGGCCTCGACGACTCTGACTTCTGGCATGACCTACTCGGACAACAACAGCAACCCCGGCGGTTATGCTTCCCCCAACTCGCCCACCAACGGAGCTTACTCGGACGCAAACTCCAACGATCCATTAGTAAACGGCCGCCGTGAGACCATGGACTCGGATGGCATCGGCGCCCTTGGAGCTGTCGGTGGTGCTGCACCAAACTCGACACAAAACGCCTCTGGCGTGCATCGTGGGATTTCAAACGCCTCGTCATCGTACTCGGCAGCAAACCGTTCCGACAACTCCGGCGAGTACCCGGGTATGCCTATGAGCAATCCCCAAGACTATTACAACGACACCCAGGGCTACTACCAGTCTGGACCCTATGGTAACAACGACCCTTATGCTGCGCAACAGCAACCACAACCGATAATACGAGACGTCTCTGCACGACGGAACACGAGAATCGAGAACCCGAGCGTCTTCCCCCAACAAGGCAATTCGGGCATTTCGCAAAACTTCTAGACTGTAACATTTTGACTTCACCCACCACCAATCTACACACCTAATTGTATATTGCGCCACCTCTCATTCTTGAAATCTCATTGAATCACTCGGAACATATATCCAACACACGGCGGCGTTTTTGGGCGACTTCGCATTCTCTTACACTTGTTTCATTGTTTATTTCTTTCATCGTATCGCTTTGATGTTGTTACTGCTACTTGCTTTTGCTGGTGCATTGTACGACGCGGCTGGGTGCGGCATGCAGGTGCCCGCCTCATTTCGGGGAGCGAGGGGAAAAGGGTCTCGGGATTCGCGGA